TCCTTCTGAGTAGTTGACCAGTGTTGGTGGTTTACGCCCGTACACCAGCTCAAATGGAGTCATCTTGGTTGATTCATGGTAGGTGGTATTGTACCAGTACTCAGCCCAAGGCAAAAAGTTTTCTCATCTCTTCGGGAATTGATGAACATAGCACCGTAGGTATTGCTCAAGGGTTCGGTTGGTTACCTCGGTTTGTCTGTCGGTCTATGGGTGATATGCTGAACTCGGATAGTTTGGTCCCCTGCAACTTGAAGAATTCAGACCAAAAGTTGCTCATAAAAATCCTATCCCGGTCAGAAACTATAGATCGCGGAGCTCCGTGTAGCTTCATCACGTACTCAACGAATAGTCTGGCAATTGACTTTGCTGTGTAAGGGTGGGTGATGGGTATGAAGTGGGCGTACTTTGTAATTTGATCCACTACGACCATCACACCGTTGAACCCATTAGAACTTGGCAACCCCCCGATGAAATCCATAGTAATGTCCTCCCAAACTGCATCGGGTACTGGTAATGGTTGCAACATCCCGCTGGTTCGGCGTGAATCAGCCTTAGTGCGTTGACAGTCGTCGCACCTTGCGATGTAGTCCCGAACTGTGCCTTGTTGTCCTGGCCAAAAGAAGGTATTGGCTATTCTCATCCATGTACGATAGATACCCGAGTGTCCTCCAATCTTGGAGTCGTGGAAGTGCTGCATAATCTTCTCACGTAGCTGCCCACTATCGGGGACGAACACTTGGCCTCGATGTAGTAAAAGGCTGTTGTGCAGCTCATAATCAGCAATGCCCTCTCCTGCCTTGATCTTTTGACGCACTTCCTTGCAATAAGTATCCTCCTCTTGCGCCTTTCCAACTTCCTCCCAGATGGTCCACGTTGGTCCAGTGATAGCATCAAGTTCAGCCACATCTGTCTATCGAGATAAGGCATCAGCTACAGCATTCTGTCGACCTGGCCGGTAGACTATCTCAAAGTCAAACCCCATAAGCTTCGAGACAAACTTCTGCTGCTCAGAAGTAACGATTCTTTGCTCGAGTAGATTCTTGAGTGGCTGCTGGTCGGTCACAATCCGAAAACGTCGCCCCAGCAGATAGGGCCTCCAGCATCTTACAGCTTCGACAATAGCCAGCATCTCCTTGACGTACACAGATAGACCTAGTCGAGTTGTGCCTAACGCCTTGCTAAGATAAGCTAAAGGTCGCCCTTCTTGCACTAGCACAGCTCCAATCCCAATATCACTAGCATCTGTGTGTACTTCGAACAAGACATCAAACCTTGGCATTGCGAGTACCGGCGTTGTAGTCATGGCGCTCTTTAATTTCTCAAATGCCTCCTCGCTAGTCGTGGTCCATGTGAACCCTCCTTTCTTGGTCATCACTGTAAGTGGCTTGGCAATGGTTCCATAATCCTTCCCAAACTTCCCGGTAATAGCCTGTGAGCCCAAGGAATCCTCTGAGTTGCGTGGGACTTGTTGGCTTGAGCCAGTCGACCATCCCATCTATCTTTCTTGGATCAACCGTCACGCCATTATGAGATATAAAGTGGCCTAAGTACTCGACCATCTATTGTCCGAATGAACACTTGGACGACTTGATGTGAAAGGAGTTAGCCTCCAATACTTTAATCACCACTCTCAAATGCTCTAGATGTTCAGCCCATGACTTAAAATATACCAGTATGTCATCAAAGAAGACTAGAACAAACTTACGTAGATGCTCCTTGAAGATGGAATTCATAGCGAACTGAAAAGTGGATGGGGCATTGCATAGCCGAATGGCATCACCAAATACTCATAGTGCCCCTGATGCGTACGAAAAGCTATCTTCGGTATGTCGGCTTTGTGGAGCCGAATATGATGATAACCAACTCTCAGATCGAGCTTCGAGAAGTAACGGGGTCCAGCTAACTTATCGAGCATGTCGTCGACACTAGGGATAGGAAATCAATCCCATATAGTCGCGGCATTAAGAGCTCGGTAATCAGTACAAAACCTCCATGTGCCATCTTTCTTTTTAGCTAACAGCACTGGTGAAGAAAACAGACTTTTGCTATGCTGAATTAACCTTGATTCTAGCATCTCAGCGACTTGCCTCTCAATCTCAGTTTTTTGGAAGTGAGCGTACCTATAGGGATGGACGTGCATTGCATGCTGCTCATTAATCAAGGGTATGCGGTGGTCGAACTCCCGGTGAGGTGGTAGGCCCTTAGGTTCGAATAGCACTCCTTCAAATTCCTCAAGGAGCTCGCGCAAATCGCCCTGCTGCTGTCCGACCTCTTCCGTGTGCGGCTCCTTACTTTCGACCACTACTGCGAATATTTGACCGCCACTTCGCCAAACTCTTTCGATACTCTTTAACCCCACTTATTT